TACTTTAACGAACTCCTCCTAGGGATTTAGTCCGACCGACTTCAAATTTGTGCTGTGCCTTCTAAAGGCATTGAAGATGAAAAGTTGTGCTATTTGCGAGTTTTCGTCAATGGGTGTGTCCGTGGCGTGGCGTCAGAGATCAAGTCTTCGCCATGACACAGGAAGTTGTTGTAACTTCAGTGTACATGCTCACATCTGAACCAAACTTTACGTGCTTGATAACTCTCCCACCCCGCTATGGAGGACCGATCCTGACACAGTCAGAAATAAATACAGAAATAAATAAATGCTCAATAAATAAATAAGCATCCAATTAAATACACAAAAAAATAAGTAAATAAATAAATGTAGGTAGTAATTAAATTATACAAGGAGACATAAATGTATATATTTTAATTAGTGCCTTTACTTATTCACCTTTGTTATAATTACCTTATTTGTTTATTCAACTTTATTTATTACTAATTTTTTTAATGTATTTATTTATGTGTGTGTTTTAATATTTTTGTCTGTTTTATTCTTCCTTTGTATTTATTTACCTTATTTATTTTCACCCATGGTATTTATTTCTGCCTGTCTTAAATTTTTGTATGCATTTCTGCCTCATTATGCAAATGAGGAGGGGCTGTGTCTCAAGGGGTCATCTTCTCTGCTATTGGTGGACCAGTCAGACAGGAGAGCTCCTACTCTGCCTGCAGACATCAACGATCTTGCCCCTCACACAGTCAGATGGCTTCCTTCAGTGCGCTGAGGTGTTTAACAACTCTGAAGACAATACTACCAGCAATGTCTTCCTTCTCTTTTCACGTAGAGCACCGACAGACAGTGCTTTCAGTTTGCTGCATGCATGGACACAGAACTGCGGTATAGGGAGAAGCACACGGTCAGCTGGCTGCAGCTAAATCTGGAGTGCACTCGTATTCAATTCTGTATGGTAAATTCAGTTTTAACGGAGCAGAGCGAGCTGACAGGCAGAGTTAGAGACTTTTTCTGTCTGTTTCTCTCTTTACAAAGACGCATGTTGCAGTCAGAGTCTTCTCTGAGATGCGAGCACGACATACAACACAATTTATCAAATTACACAACGGATATACAGTATGAAAATAAGATTGATTGGATTATACTCACAGGAAGTATAAAACCTCTTACATGGGTCTATTAAAAGTAAAGTAACACAAAAATGTCAGGGAAATTACTTTACTTAGATTTAAGTACTGCAGTTGTACATTTGAAATACCTTCCTACCTTTCTGATAGGAAGCCTTCTTGAGGTGGTATAAAACATTTCTTCTTATATTCTGATTTGAGTTGTGGACAACTATGACCACATGAATTAAAAAAACATTTCACTGCCCAAGTCAGCTATAACACAAGTCTTGTTCATCAGACTACATGCTGTACAGTATTTGTGGACAGATTTTGTCCCAGGATTTCTTATGCATTTCTTCTTCTTCGTTGCATGATTTAGAATAATAAGGTGAGAAATGGGTCTATTCTGAGTTCATCCTGCACTGCAGCAGCTAATAAAGTCCATTTAATCCCAAAAACGCTTTTCTTTTAGGCAGGCTGGAGCAGAAAACAACTCACCTTTCTCAAGTTGTACAGTAATGTCACATGTGTATGAAGGTGGATCAAACAAGCTAATCTTAAATGTCAAAGTAGAGAGGAGCCTAGTAGGCCTATTTATTTTCATTCATTACACAATATGAATAAGCTATGCAGACAGTTGTAAAGAAAGAACATCTTTTTCTTCTGTTCTCTACTTGTTATAGTTACACAGTATTAGGGGTGTGGGCTGTATTAAAAGTATCCACTGTTCTCCCATGCTCTAACACACAGTAACGATGAAATGTGTGCTGTTCTCACATTCTTCCTCTGTATGTACACATAAACAACAAGGCAGGGAAATATAAAAGGAATTTATTTTATTGTTTGGGTACATTATTGTTCAGTGTACATGTCACATCTGAAACAAACTTTACGTGCTTGATAACTCTCCCACCCCGCAGACATCTACACCAATACCGATTTATATTCATAGCGGCAAGTGCTATGTAGCTCCACATAGGGGACACAGGAAGTGACATATAGCACCTTCATGCGGCGTCGGAACCGCGTAGGAAATTCACAGCCGCACCGGCAGAGCTCCAGAATATGCAACTCGGCCGGCTCACGCGCGGACGCGCTACAAGTGCGAGGGCCCGCCCAACGCTGCTTGCAGCTTTAATTTTTTTTTTTTTTTTTTTTTTCTGCAAAGTAGGCCCAAATGACATGGCCTAAACATACTCGAAAACTCACCAAAATTTGCAAACATGTCAGAACCGGTGAAAAATTTCGTATTCTACAAGTTTCGCACATGGGCGTGGCAAAATGACTCGCTAGCGCCACCTAGAAAATTGGAAATGATTAGCCCCTCGTTCACGTTCAACCTACATGTACGAAATTTTCTGGGGACATGTATCGTATCAAGACGCACAAAAAAGCCTCAAGAACCCATAGCCTAAAGTCAACAGGAAGTCGGCCATTTTGAATTTTATGGCCATTTTTGGATGATTTACACACTTCGTACTTTAACGAACTCCTCCTAGGGATTTAGTCGGATCGACGTCAAATTTCTGCTGTGCCTTCTAAAGGCATTGACGATGAAAAGTTGTGCTATTTGCGCGTTTTCGTCAATGGGCGTGTCCGTGGCGTCGATGATTCGCAATGAAACAGGAAGTTGTTGTAACTTCAGTGTACATGCTCACATCGGACCAAACTGTACATGTAGGATGAGAGTCCCGCCCTGAACACATGTACATGCCGACATTCACCCACAGTCATAGCGCCACCTGCTGGCAACAGAAAGTGACTTTAACGAAGCAGCCCCCGCCGCACGTTTTACCTACGTGCACGAATTTTCTGTGGTACGTGTATCTTGTCCAGACGCACAAAAAAGTCTCTTGGAGCCATAGCCTAAACCCAACAGGAAGTCGGCCATTTTGAATTTTACGTCAAATTTTGGATGATTTACACACTTCGTACTTTAACGAACTCCTCCTAGGGATTTAGTCCGACCGACCTCAAATTTGTGCTGTGCCTTCTAAAGGCATTGAAGATGAAAAGTTGTGCTATTTGCAAGTTTTCGTCAATGGGCGTGTCCGTGGCGTGGCGTCAAAGATCAACTCTTCGCCATGACACGGAAGTTGTCGTAACTTCAGTGTACATGCTCACATCTGGACCAAACTGTACATGTAGGATGAGAGTCCCGCCCTGAACACATGTACATGCTGACATTCACAGACAGTCATAGCGCCACCTGCTGGCAACAGGAAGTGACTTTTAACGAAGCAGCCCCCGCCGCACGTTTTACCTACGTGCACGAATTTTCTGTGGTACGTGTATCTTGTCCAGACGCACAAAAAGCCTCTTGGAGCGATGCCCTAAAATCAACAGGAAGTAGGCCATTTTGAATTTTACGTCAAATTTTGGATGATTTACACACTTCGTACTTTAACGAACTCCTCCTAGGGATTTAGTCCGACCGACTTCAAATTTGTGCTGTGCCTTCTAAAGGCATTGAAGATGAAAAGTTGTGCTATTTGCGAGTTTTCGTCAATGGGTGTGTCCGTGGCGTGGCGTCAGAGATCAAGTCTTCGCCATGACACAGGAAGTTGTTGTAACTTCAGTGTACATGCTCACATCTGAACCAAACTTTACGTGCTTGATAACTCTCCCACCCCGTTATGGAGGACCGATCCTGACACAGTCAGAAATAAATACAGAAATAAATAAATGCTCAATAAATAAATAAGCATCCAATTAAATACACAAAAAAATAAAGTAAATAAATAAATGTAGGTAGTAATTAAATTATACAAGGAGACATAAATGTATATATTTTAATTAGTGCCTTTACTATTCACCTTTGTTATAATTACCTTATTTGTTTATTCAACTTTATTTATTACAAATTTTTTTAATGTATTTATTTATGTGTGTGTTTTAATATTTTTGTCTGTTTTATTCTTCCTTTGTATTTATTTACCTTATTTATTTTCACCCATGGTATTTATTTCTGCCTGTCTTTTTTAAATTTTTGTATGCATTTCTGCCTCATTATGCAAATGAGGAGGGGCTGTGTCTCAAGGGGTCATCTTCTCTGCTATTGGTGGACCAGTCAGACAGGAGAGCTCCTACTCTGCCTGCAGACATCAACGATCTTGCCCCTCACACAGTCAGATGGCTTCCTTCAGTGCGCTGAGGTGTTTAACAACTCTGAAGACACTACCAGCAATGTCTTCCTTCTCTTTTCACGTAGACGCTCCGACAGACAGTGCTTTCAGTTTGCTGCATGCATGGACACAGAACTGCGGTACAGCACACAGTAACGATGAAATGTGTGCTGTTCTCACATTCTTCCTCTGTATGTACACATAAACAACAAGGCAGGGAAATATAAAAGGAATTTATTTTATTGTTTGGGTACATTATTGTTCAGTGTACATGCTCACATCTGAAACAAACTTTACGTGCTTGATAACTCTCCCACCCCGCAGACATCTACACGCCAACACCGATTTATATTCATAGCGGCAAGTGCTATGTAGCTCCACATAGGGGACACAGGAAGTGACATATAGCACATTCATGCGGCGTCGGAACCGCGTAGGAAATTCACAGCCGCACCGGCAGAGCTCCAGAATATGCTACTCGGCCGGCTCACGCGCGGACGCGCTTACAAGTGCGAGGGCCCGCCCAACGCTGCTTGCAGCTTTAATTGTAGCATGGATTTTGAAACTTATTTTAGGATTTCTTGCAGTTTCTCTCATGAGACATGTGCATGTTGCTACTGTCATCGCTGCTTGTTTGGAGGAATGGATGAACATTAATGACAGACATGTTTTTTGCAGTGTTCTAGCAGTGGAGGAAGGAGTGAATCAAAGGAAAACTAAGTCTTAATCTGTTTTTTCCCCCCTCTCTCCATCTCTTTGTATCTCTTTGCCGACCGTTCTTCTCTAGTTGAGTTTTGGGGGTATGCCATACAGTGGGAAGCCTGTGGGTGGAGGGCGGAAGAACTTTAAAGGCTGCATGGAGAGCATCAACTACAATGGAGACAACATTACAGACCTGGCTCGCCGAAAGAAGCTAGACACCTCCAGCTTTGTAAGAAAATGTGCATGTACACACACACACGCGCACGCACACAGACAGACACTCCCATATAGATACAAATATCGCATACATAAACACAGCTCTCATTTGCAAACATGTAAATCTCATAAAGGCAGCTGAATACTAAATGTGCTCATTATTGTCACACTAACTCTGTATATGACCTGAGTGAGGGGGCAAATTATTCACAGCACCAAAATACTGTAACAGATTCATAATTAATCAGATACAACTGACCCATCAGTGGCCTCTCCGCGTGTTTACCTCCTGTCTTTGTGCTCCCTCTTGATAACATGGCTGCCATTTTACTGCGATCTACAAAGACAGAATTTCACTGCAATGCATGTGAGAAAGTTTTGTTTTCACCCAATCTCAACAGAATAAGAAACATATTAAGTGCGTAGCTTCTTCTCTTCAAAAGCATGGCACTCTGGATGGCTGCTGAATGTAACTTTAGCACATTAAGTGTTTTGCCATCCTTAAAATACGTTACCGAGCAGCCTTGGATAGACTGTAATGTCTCTCACCATCTCCTGTTCTTCCTCAGCAGTGGACAGTCAGTGTATCTTCTTTGATCTCTGGTGAACTGATTGAACGAATGGAGGCACTAATCAAGTTCGTTAAAGCCGCACTTCTAATTTTCTCACAGCCATTCATCTGTTCTACAGATCTGTTCACAAATTTTAGGAACACATACACACACACGCAGACAGAGGCAATCAGGAATCATCTGTAGCTGGTAAGGCAGCTCAATACTGTGCTTTTACTAATGATTTGTTTGAGAGCACAAGGTTGGAGAAGCTCAATGGTAATTAGTGCCTAAATTCCACAGTAGTGTTTGTTTTCCTCCAGCACATAAAGATTACCTGGGTCACTGTTCAACTCTCAAATACAGGGTGAGCCAAAAGGAGCCATTTTTGTAATGTGTACAAGCAACATCAGTCTTTGAATCTAGCTTCTGTCAGGAACATCTGAAGGTAAACACGTGTTATTACGTGGTATTAATTAATGCTGACAATTATTTTATTGCCAGTAAACGCAGTTTTTAGTACTATTTTAGTATTATTGTGAAAGTCCGTTGCTCACTGGCTCTGACTACACATACAGTCAAACCATGGGTCACAGGAGGGTGGGATGTTGATCAGCCTGCAAATCACCCACCCAAACAAGCAGTGGAGGGAGGCTTCAACAGACTGCGCTAGATGCAGCGTGTGGGAGAAGTAGATAAACAAAAGCAAGACGAGCGATCAAATGCCATAGTGAAGTGGATAGCTACACACTGCAAGCTGATTAGTATTGGGGAAGATGTCGGTCTTAGGAACATTCTAAAAATCACAACTTAGTCGCTTGGCCCCACGGGGTCGCTCTGTCTAAATGGCAGGCGCTCTATGGATGGTAACCATGGCAATGGCGCTGAACAGCTGTTGCCCATTTAACTTAAAATTAACATTTACCGATGGGCCTTCGTCTAGTTTTTAAGGGATGCTCTGCCATGCAAATTCCCTCCTGTTGATGTCCTATGTAGTAAACAGTAATAGATTCTGGAAACTCACAAACAGCGAGAATCAGTCTCTCTTCCAGTGGTTTGTGCTGCATGTCGCGTACAAAAAGTACAATTCAACTCCGGCAGCGGGCGGGCGTGTGCGTGAGGAGAGCACTTCACCTCACTCTAAGAGAGACACTTGCTACTGAACATAGACTGTTTATGCTGCTCTCTGATAAAAGAAGAATGTTTCTGCTGATACCTGTTCAGAAAAAAAACAACAGGAAAACAGATTTATATATTTTAACCTGTTTCTCAGAAGGTGCCTGTTATGATGTTATGGTCGTGGCTCTGGACTCTGATGGTAACTTGTTTTAACTAGCTAGATAAAAGGTAATGCCTTGGCAGTGGCAAACTGATTTTTTTATATTTGATTTTATTACATTAATGTTTAAGTTGAGATTTGCAATAAATATTTTATTTATACTGTGTAAAGGGAATACTGCTGGTAAAAAGCACCTTTTTGTTTAAAGTGTTTGCAAACCATGTTATTGCACTTTTGTGAATATAGTAGTATATTTAAATTTAAAGTGCAGAATATACTACTTTAGAATTCATTATTCAATTTTGTGCATAACTATGCAATTAATTGCAGAAAATCATGCGATTAATCGCGATTACAAATTTTAATTGTTGCCCAGCACTATTTTTAACGTTTATTAACTTGTTGGTGTTTCTCTCTCTAAATCATCTTGGCAGCGTAACCTGTCCTTCTCCTGCGTGGAGACCCACACCTTCCCGGCCTTTTTTAATGCCACCAGCTTTCTGCAGCTGCCAGGTCGAGCCAATCACAACACGGCGTCTGTGAGCTTCCAATTTCGTACGTGGAACCCCGATGGGCTCCTCCTCTTCAGTAATCTTGATGATGGCACGCTGGAGATCTCCCTCGAGGACAGCAAGGTTGTAGTTCATATCAACGTGACGGGGGCGACCAGCAACAACCGGGTAGACTTATCGGCAGGTGAGTTTGCCCACAGACGCACCTACACACACGCACACACTATAGAATTTAAATGCAAAGCTGTTTCTTTAAGTATGGCATTTTTGTTGTACCAAGTAATAAGTTGCATTGAAACAAAACAGTTCAACTATTTATATAATGAAAAGAAAATTGGCCATGCATGACTTGTATTATCTGCTGTATTCTAAGTATGTCATTGCCACAAATCTATTATGGGAATGTGAAGACATTCTGCTTTTTACTGACATTTCATGCTCACTAACAATGTTTGCTTTAGTGTTGGGTGAAGAGCAGTGTATCCGCTAAACTGACTTCTTGTATTTATCAGAGTTCACCTGGACTATGCATTAAAAAAACACTCTTACACACTTGTATTTTTACATCCTGGCTCTTACAAATAGTACTTAGCACTGTGTAGCATCTTAGCCTAGCTATCTTTGCTGTGTACCAGCAATGGCTAAACTAGCAATTGTGAGTACTTGAAACTTGTTCTATTGACATCCTTACTCTACAGACAGCAATCTGTTTTTATGTAACCTTTATTTAACCTGGGAAGAAGACCCATTAAGTTTAAGACTTTTTTTGCGCGCCCTGGCCAAGAAAGGCAGCAGGACAGCAAGTTTGACAGAATGAGAAGAATATAAATAAGACATCTACGATTTTACATATACACAAATGTGATAGTAACAGAATACTATAAAAACAGTACATTAAAGCTGATGATAGACAGAGCAACTTTTAGAGCAATCGTGCAGGGCAATGTTGCCATCAGTGGTAATGAGTATTACTAACGTAATCCCTTCCCCCCCACTCCGTAACCCGCCCCGCACCGCCACTATGCATTCAAAACATAGTCGGACTTTCCACTAGCAAGATTGCCCAGCAACATTGCTCAAAAAGTTGCCCCATGTATCATCAGCTTAAGACCTCTTCAGGCAAATGGATAAACACTAATGGATTTCCATCTTATTTTAAACATTCACATTCATCTTTAAAAACCTCCATAATCAGGGATTTAAACTCCCCAAGAGGTGTCAAAACCTCCAAATGGAGGGTCCTCTGCAATGAGTTCAAAGTAGATTGTGCACAATATGAGAAGGCAGTCTTTCCCAATAATGAAGTCATCCTGAGAAATTTTAAAAGTAGTAGCCTGTTGGACTGTGAATGATGACTACTCACCGCAAAGCTAAGGAAGCTACTAATGTGGTTTAGTGTATTTTGCATAAAAGTGCCTTATAGATAAAAATACACAAATGTAGCTGTCTCCATGTAGCTAATGATGGCCAATCCACCATTTCATATGACAAATGTACTTACTGTAAGTCACTTGGGACTAAAGCGTTTGCTAAATGCTCTAAATGTAAATTTAAATATATGGTGTTGTGGATGTAAAGTACAGTTTAAGACAATGCCCACATTTGGAAAATTGCTGAAAAAGTCAAGCATAGAGTACGTGCATCATAAGATTGAAATTCTTTTAAACAAGCTTTTCTTCTATGGCTCTTTGGATAATTTTTTCCCCTTCCTATCCTCCCACCTCTCTTACCCTTCCCTTCCTCCCTTCCTCAAATTTCCTGCCTCTTGTTTCTCTCCCCCTCTCTTTCTATTTCCTTAGACACACTCATTTATTCTGTCCACTGCTGCTTTAATAGGCCATTATGCCCAGGGGTAGGGATTATTACAGAGTTACCCTCTTGGCTAATTGGGCTTGAGCCTGCGATTACATCAGTATTACTAGAATATACAGACACACAAACAGACTCGCACACACTCAAACACAAACTCCCCCCTTTGATTCTGTTATTAGTATTTCTAAGAAAGAAAACCACACAGGCTTCTGGCTTCAGTGACACAGTTGAAGCTCAGTAGACTTGTAATGAACTGCTTAGTCCCTTTTAAAGGCAAATATACTGGGGAGAGACATTCAGATGGGCACACACTAAACGGGAGAGAGCGAGAGAGAGAAAAGAGAGGTTCTTATGGAGAGTTTTGTTGTTTTGTTTTTTTTCTTCTTTTTTTTCCAGTGGGGATAGTTTGTTTATTGAGCTGTTTAGTGACAGGTTATTCAGACATATAATCAGACATTTGCTTTAAGGTGAAATCATTGAGAATCATGAAAAATCATTTTCATTCACAACTTCTAACCCATTTCACTTTTCAGCCGTCTAAACCTGACATGCAGACATTTATAGCACATAGTAAATCACAGAAAGTGGTATCACACTGGTGCAAATGGGCACTTAGGGGCAACAGAATACAACGAAAGGGAGAAATAAGTTTTAATGCAAGACATTTACTGCAAACATCTTTGGCATTTGGCAGATAAATTCTAATGGATGAGTTAATTATTATAACATTAGAAATGTGCATAAAGTGTACTATGAACACTTTTTTTGAGGCCCCCCTGATCTTTTGTCTAAGCTGTTATCTGTAATGGGAAGTGTTTAGGGAAACCACATAAGGTGAACCATTGCACAGCAACTCTCACTACACCACCACCTGTTATTTACCACAGCGCGAATGTGATGTGAAAACTGGTGAGCCAAGTGTTTAAACCATTTCCCACCTTCTTTCAAATAAAACATGCCGTCTTGTCTAATAAACCACATTAGCTCAAGATGGATGCTTTAATCGTTGAACCGTAAAATATCTTTTACAAACACCCTATTGGCCCTCAGTAACTGGTGTACTATTTAAAACTTCATTAGCCAATTTTTTTCTGTCAACACAGGATCAAATGACTCCCTGTAAAGTAAAGGAGTTGCTAGTACTGTTATTTCCACTAAGAACAAGCAGTTTGCAGCTTTTAATTCATTTTTGATTTGCTGTATCGTACAAGTGGAAAAGATATGGAATTACTTAGAGCCCAGTTTCAAGGCAAACATCTAACAAGGTGATGAGACAAAGATAATTGTTTTTTTCAGGAGGTGGTTGATCAAAAGTGCAAATGAACATTGGACATTTCACAGATGGAGACTTATAAGACTCCAATACAATGTCCATGTTGCTCTGTTTCTGCTCTAGAAGTGTCAGTGTTACTATACAATTGTTTTGCTAACACAGGATCCAGTTGAATAAATCCAGGTACCTAGATGTGTATTTGTTCTTGAGTCTATTTTCTGCTCTTTAGCAAAAATTGCCTAGTAGATGTAATAGGATTTTTAAAATATAGTAGACCAGTACTTCTCAAACCTTTTCTGTCACGACCCCCTTTCATAACCCAAAAAATCCTCATGCCCCACCCCCACCAACACCACATGTAAACGGATTGAATTTTTATTAATCATTAAAAATATTGGGGGAGCAACAAATATCAAAAAGGAGCCCAGTTTTATTTGATTGAAAGAAAATAAATTATTCAGGTCAGCAAAGTGTCTTTTAAAATTTCCTTACCTAAATCGTGTTCATTCAGCTTACAGTACTTACTACAGTAAAATAATAAATGTATGACCTGCAGAGACTAACCCCCGTTTTTTTAATATCCCTTAATGTTTTGTTAGCTTTTTAAATAGTTAAGCCAGCAGATATATCTTGAAATGAGGTGTGTGTGTGTGTCTATCAGGATGTATAGATTTGATTTAGCCTTGACTTTGGGGTTATGTTTGTTTGTTTTTTTGTTTTTCTGTGTGTAAATAATAATTAAAAAATATTCTAAGAAGGGGATATTGAGATTAATCAGCCTTCTTTATGCATGTACAGTAGAGCTTGCCTGCTGCTAAAAACACACAAGTCATCCCCTTCTGCATCTTGCCCCGAGAGTGTTTGTGACCTGAGGCAAACATGCTCTACTCTCCTTTGAGAAACTTCCGTCATTCCATCCACTTCCTCCTCTCAAGCAGAGAGACAGAGGATTAAAGGGAAGACGAGGCCTCTGAGAGAACACTCTAGATTAGACTGTGGGTGTCTCCTTAATGGTGTGTGTGTGTGTGTGTGTGTGTGTGTGTGTGTGTGCACTTACCAACCTATCTAACAGTGGACCTCGACGTCGTTACACACACACTAAGAGGGGACTAAAAAGTGAACAGGGGACATTTTTTAGGTCCCCTGTTGGACATGCTTTAAATCATGCTAAAATCATGTCTAAAACCATCTGGTAAATTTTTTAAACTATTGTCAAGAGGGGACCTGCAGGTGTGTGAGTGTTTAAGTCCATACTCAGCAGTGCCTCTAGTGGATCAAGCAAAGATTTTAACGACTCATTCACACACGTCGTTCTTAACACTCCCCTATAGAGTGAATGGCTTGCAGCCCCAGGGAGTCTATCAGACTGTAGAGGGGCTATTATACAAGCTACTCAGTAAAGAAAGCTGTCTCTTGAAACACAATTTCTTAATTTTTTCTAACAAAATATACAGGCTGAGTTTTAGTCGATGCCTTGTGTTTTAAGATCAACATGTATTAAAATACAGGGCTACACTGAAGGCCTGGAGAGTAAAATGAATTTTAGATTCTAAAAACCGGAACAAAAATAGAAAAACAACCAGGGTAGAATTAGAAATAAAATGGTCAGTATAAAGATACTTTCTTTACGGTTTTAATTAATTATAAAAAAGAATGTATTAATTAATAAAAAATATTTGACATTTGACATCTAGAGCTTTAAACTTGTTCTGTCCCAAAATACTAACCTGGCCAGCTTTCACAAGCACTGGACATCAATACATTTTTTTTTCATTATATTTGTGTGCTTAGTCTACACTTAAAGATATGCATTTGAATTACAGAAAAAGGGACCACACTTGTACTGTGTGGAACGACAGGAGTCCACTGTTCGCTTGTAGATGATGACACAAGTTCCCTCTTAGATAGCATGGAGCGATAATCACACTCCAACTTGTGTGAAAATAATAAATAAGCAAATTTAATCATACTTTTGAGACAAAATAAACTAACTAAATAGTCTCTTTATTTTCTATACATTCTTTTAAAACAAAATATAAAGGCTGAGTTTAGTGGATGTCTTGTGTTTTAAGATCAACATGTATTAAAATAAAGGGCTA